CGTCTTCTTTTTTTTTTTTTTGCTCCTCTACTTTTCCTTTTTTACTTTTTGCTTCATCTTCATCGTCTTCTGCTGTACAAATGCACCAATATTTATACTTACAAAATTATGCAGAAAAAAAAGCAAAAAAAGAAAAAAAAAAAGAAATGAATTTGGACAAAAAAGGCCAAAAACTGCAACCAAAAAACAAACATCTAAAATTGGAATATTTATATCATTGGAAAAGTACATTCAAAATTTAGAAAAAAAAACCATCTTTTGTTACGTTAGATAAAAAAAAGGAAAGTGTAAAAAAATTTCAAAAAATTAAAACGAAAAAAAAAAACAGAAAATAGTCCGTAAACAATTAATCTTTGAATTCAAATGTTATTTCAAGAGCAAACGATAATATCCCCGTTGTCCTCTTGCCTTCTCCTTCGGCCCCTCTTCAAACTTTACATATAAACTAGAAAAACCAAAGAATACAATATGTATATTTTTTTATCAAATAAAAATGCTGTAAATTTAATTTAAAATGCAAGAAAAGCGGGTTAAATCATAGCAAAGAAAAATAAAAACGTCAAAAATTGATGAAAAAGTAACCAACTAACTGTTGCTGCAAGAAGTAAAATACTTTTAGAGCAAATAATTTTTCACCTAATTCTTGGCAGATAGAGAGTCATTCAACAGGATATTATAAGCCGTAGACCAGTTGACAATGAAAACTATTTAATTTCCGTTCCCAAATAGCTGTTATTCAATAATACAGAAATGAAGATTTGAATATGCAAACTTACGTATTCATTTGTTCCATTTTCAGAAGGATCGAGACCGCCGGCTCGGGAACTTCTCCCGAATCGTACTCAGACGGCGGTTGCGATTCGTTATCTGTATCACCACCTAAAACAGATGTAAAAAGGAGAAAATCAGAACACCAATAAGATTTACAGATAAAAATCAAAACTACAGCGACTGATGACGATGACAATGATTGTAATAATGATGTTGATGATGACGGTGCTGTAGATTACAATACCAATGAGGATGACGATGATGATGATGGTGATGATGATGAACTAAAAGTGGTGAAACCAAAGAGAACGACTTTTAGCTTATACTAGAGTCTATTACGCTCTATTCAATAGCATTTTTGAAACCACTGAATAAATGAATGAATGAATGAATGAGTGGAAGAACAATATGACTGAACGAAAATGCAATGAATAACGTCAACCCTGCCTTGCTCTCTACTTCTTCTTTCTATTTATCCCTATCTGTTTTATTTCTTACCTTCGATCGTTCACAGAGTGCTAAGGTATGAAAATTATTCTTAAAGAATATTAAAAAAATTACCAGACAAACCAGCAGTATGTATAGCTTGTCAAAAAATTTTCGCTCATTAATTCCATATGTATGCCTTAACCCAATACGTCTAAATCACAAAATACTAATAATAATAAAAGCAGCCAAAAATAAGGATCATCACGATTTTTAACTGCAACAACTAAGCAACTGTTAAGGCAACTAAATTTTTCCAATAACCAACGATATCTCAGGTTACTCTGAACATTACAACTGTGAGAAATTTATTAAGTTTGTTGTTTTTTTTTCTGTTTTTATCGATCTACATCAGCTACGATTACGATCACAGTTTCTCAGTCTATATATTTTCAAAATTTTTCTACCAGTTTTTAAAGGAATTAAATATACGCACCAAAAAAACGAAAATATTCTATCTGGATTATTTACCATCAGTACCACCATCACTACCATCGCCATCAGCAATACGATTTTGTATTGTTCAATTAGTTTCTAAGTACACAGTAGAAACAAGTGAATTTGGAAGGAGAAGA